ACTTCAATGGAAAAAGCTGTTTCGCACTCTTCTTTGAAGACATCTCAAACGCCCTTCCAGCACCAAACGAGCTGCAAAGGGGAAACCCACTCCTTCTCTGTGCCTCAGATTCCTTATTTGTAAAAGGAGGAAAAATAGCTCAACTAACGCGAACTTTTTCCCCCCTTCTGGATCTTTACGTCCCTGGATCCTTCCCAGTGCACAACTCTGAGAGACGTTCTGTAGAAACCCGTCAAGCCTAAGCCAAGCTGTGTTGGTCTTGACAGAGGAGGACACAACCAAGTGAGACAGATCTGTGACTCCGGTTTTTTCCAGTGACTTACCCTCGGGGTGGGGCGTGTGCCCACAATTAGGTAGCCCATCAAGTATTGAACACTGGCTCTTCGCAACTCTGACCCTCGACACAGATTTGTACTGGTCTAACTTCCAAGATGGGGGAGAAGTTCTGCTGCATCCAAACTGATGGATAAATGATGCTGAAACTCCATGTGAACTTTGCCTAGTGACTGATAACGCGCCTCGGGGCCTCATTCAATTTTACATACAGCACTTTGATGTTACCTAGTCCTTTAACATTCCAAAGCACGGCCGTCACTACTCTCTCTCTCTTTCTCTCTCTTTTTTAAGTAGGCTTCAGGCCCAGTGGAGGCCAACACGGGACTTGAATTCACACCCCAGAGATCAAGACCCCAGCTGAGATCAACAGCTGCTTAACTGAGCCACCCAGGTGCCCCTATTCTATCATTTTCAAATTAGGATGGCGCTCTCTGCAGCAGATGTTAAACTGACAAAGCAAGATGGTAGAAAATGAAGTCAAAATCTTGGCGAGTTCTTCAGAAAAGACCTTCAAATGTGGTCTTTGCAACTGAGGGTGCTAGAAAGGTCATTGCCTTTAGAGATGCCAAGTGATGCAGCCGTCACAATGAGGAATTTGAATACGGAGGCTCCGCCCACCACCTGTAGCCAGGCAGCTGTCATTTTCTAACTGGATGTTAATCAGGTAAGGAGGTTCCAAGGTCTCACCATCTTCATGATTGCCCACAAAAGCTAGCTAGAGAAACTTTTGGCCCAGACTTTGTGACTGTTTCAGGGAGCAAATTTCCACTCACTTTAGTTTTCCTTGCGAAAGCATCTCCTAAATCCAGATAGCTTAGAAAACCAGTGTTAATGGAAGGTCAACTTTCAGAGTTTACAAAGTCTTCCTGCTTTGCTTTTGACTTGTTATGGGCAAGTTTTGCTTTGAACTCTGTGCATCCAGTTTAAACTAAGCGCAGTGGCCTCTTCAAGATAAATGATTAGAAAGGTAAGGTAAAACCAATTGCCTAGAATACTCAAGTGAGAGAAATGCTCATGATACTTGGTTTTAGTAAATTGGGTGGGATTATTTAACTTGTAGAACACCTTATACGTCAAAACACATTATACATGGTGTTTGTTAGGTCCTCTGAAGAGCCATTTCAGAAGGGGGAAGAGTGGATAATGCCCACTTATAGGGGAGGAAACAGACTTGTTCAAACACTAAGACCGCACCAGGGTCCCTGCCTACAAACCCAGGGCTCTTTCCTAAAGCGGAAAACTAGCTTCCAGCTTGGCTACAAACTTTCTAAGTGATACAGTTACATGCAAAAAAAAGATGCAGAAGAAAGCTATTTGAGCACTTAAGTTCAAAATGTGATAGGAAAGCAGTTAAGAGTTCTCCCTCAAGCAAAACTGATACAATAACCTAGGCAGATGAACTATCTGATTTCCAAATGTAACTTCCACAGAACTAATCACTTAAAAAGGCTTGGGTGTCTTTTAAGTAAATAAAAGTTATACTATTTGGATAAGACCAAATAGATGAAGTTAAAGAAGGCAGTTAATTTTAAAAGATGAAAATGAAAACACAATAGCCATTAAAAGTGGTACGGTAGATGCAAGTTTCTGCCTTTTAGGAAAAAAAAAAGTCAGTTTTCTTCTGAAATCGGTATTACTTCTCAGTTAATGGAGCTGAGAAGATGGCATTTAGCTTGTCCAAAGATTAAAACATTACACTTTCTTCCAAATGCAAATAAATCTTTTGCTGGTCACCAAACTCCAGAAACGGAGAAAAGTAATACTTTTCACTATTGTTTTAGCAGTCTGTACTAGAAGCCACTCCTATTGGGTAGAACTGCTTCCTCCCTTTGACATCTTTTAAAATCCTTCAAGATAAGTAGAAATAGGAACAGTAAGGAAAGAGAATCTGGGATAATACAGTATTTTACTTGTCCCACGAAAACCAAAAACCAATAAATCCACTGTAGAACACTGCTCTAAATAATTTTCACGTTGCCTATTCCCACTGGACAGGTGGAATGAAATACCAATCAGTGTTTTCCTTTGGTCTACTTCCCATCTAAAAAACGAGTTTCACAGCCAGTGCATGACAGGGAAAGGTTCTATTACTAAGGAAACAGAAATGTATATCATCCACGCCTCATTCCAAAATACCCTGTCAGATTTTGCAGCTAAAGTTAGAGAACTCTGAGAAGATCTGCTTGGTTTCCATTGGGATAAAGGAAAGCAAAAGAGAGTAAAGCAAAGATACACCATTTGGAGAATAGTCCTAGATGATACAGAATCTGAAACAGGCTCTAGGTTCTGAGCTGTCAGCACAGAGCCCAACACAGGGTTTGAACTCCTGGACCGTGAGATCATGACCTGAGCTGAAGTCAGACGCCCAACCGACTGAGCCACCCAGGTGCTCCCTTTTTTTTAATTAAAAAAATTTTTTTTCTTTTTAATGTTTATTTTTGAGAGAGTGTGAGCCAGGGAGGGGCAGAGAGAGGGAGACACAATGATACCTTACATTTTTAAAGTGCTATAGTTTATAAGAGAATTTTACACATTACCTCTTAGTGTTGACCTACCTATGGAGTAGGAAAGAAAATAATTACTATCCTTACTTTCTAGGAAGAGGAACAGAACAGAGACTCAAAGAGGCTAGTGACTTGCCCAAAGTCAAGGGCTTAGTATTGATTTTGCTGGCACTAAAGCCAGGTCTTTATCTTCCCAGCCAGTGCCTGTTTTGTCATTGCTAAGCGCCCAGGCAATGCAGAAAAGGAGGGCTTAATGGTTTTCCAATGTGTGACAGTCAACAATATTCTCTCCTTTATAGGAGAAAGAGATAATGGTGCCTTAACTAAAGAGGGGGTACTTTGAGGAGCCTGTTAATAATATATATGGCTCTAAAAATAGAAAACATTCTAAAAATAACTGGTAACAACTAAGGGATTAATATCAAGGCCAACTCTTTTGAAGGAAAAGCATTTCAGTGCTGACTTCCGTGGAACAGAAAGAACACTTCTATGGGCTTATACTTTTAATAGGACAACCCCAGAAAAGTAAAGGCGGCACTCTGAGATTTTTGTGAATTAGTTTAATATATGTCCATAGGTAGTTCATATGAATGCTTTAAATTACAAAATTAGCTGCCATGGTCCAAATGTGTGGGACTTTAAGAAAGCTTTTATTAATCAAAAGATAGCTAAGCATATCAACTTTGATTTCTAAAACCTATTTTAAACTTTGTAAAACAAGGCTAATTCTAGAATTCTATAGCATTAAAGTAATTAAATGTTATTTTTGTTATTTTAATAACTTAATTTCATGAACTGTTAAAAAAAATATTACATTTGCATCTCCCAGTTTACACATTTCTGCATTAACTTAGAGAAAAACCCATGTGGAAAGTTTCCATGCAGTTACAAAGGCAGCAGCACATACTGTTTTCACAGCAACTTGTTATTGCCTAAGAACACACCTGTACATAAAGCATCAACAAAAAAATATCCACCCACCCCTCTCCCACCAAAAACCCAACCTTTTCCCATCCCCAGCAAAAATTACCTGGTACAAGCAGTGACTTAAAAAATGCTTTCTTAGTAGGAAGCATTTATAAAATGCAGAAATCTGAACAAGCTAAATGCTCGTGCAGATAGATGGGCCTCTCCTCAAAGAGTTCCTTCCTCAAGAGGCAGAAAGAACTCTCAATAGTTTAGGAAAGCTCATTTTTAAAAGTATATTTATGCATATTCATGGCTATTTCTTTGAAAGAACATACCCAGCCTCAACTGTGGAAGAAACAAAAGCAGAAGGAGAAGCAAAGGGACACAGCCATACACAGAGAATAGAGCTTCTCTATGAACATCCAATAGTTTGCAACAACCAAGAAGGAAAAACATGTGTGACTTCACATAGACCACTGATCTGATCTAGGTGAAGCAGTTAATTTTTCATGCATTTGTTACTCAAGGAAAACATACACCCACTTAAATACAGCATTCACATTGTCATTAGCTCATGGTATCAGGTAAGGAAGAAACTGTGCTCCTGTACTACCTATCCTTAGAATTTTCCATGTACATGTAAGTATCCTAAACCCTATAGATATAACACTGTCATCAGCACCTCCCACCTACAAAACATACATTGAACTACATTATGTTTTGAGTCCCTGAAATTGCACTACCACATATAGTGTTCTAAATTTTACTTTTTTATAAGGTTAATGTACACACAGAAGAAAACACCAAGCAATGTTTATTGTGCAATTCCAATAGTTATTTGTGGAATCTTGGTTTAGAGTCAGTCTTCATAGCCTTTGCAACTACCCAGTTTAAACAAAAAGCAACAATCTAATTATATATCTATAAACGTCGATATTTCTTCAAACATCAAAGCACTAAAAGCACTGATGATTTGTGTTATAATTTTAAAAATATTTTAACACTACACAAATCTTATATATTCCTTTCATAAAATAATCAAAATAATTTGGTTATTTGGACGAGAATTAGAGAAACAGAGTCCTTCCCTTGCATCTGTAACCTCTGTAAAACAGAACAGATGATGAAATAAGGATTTCTTAGTCACTTGGGAGTGTTTGGACTTTAAGATGAGAAAGGGACTGGTATTTTTTGTTCTCTGTGAATTCAGAGCTTCCAGGTGGCACCAGGACTCAGATCTCTGGGATGACTTTACATGGCTTTCACTTTGATTTGTTTCATTTTCATTTGCTTCTTCTCTAATTTCTTTTGCTCACGCCTCAAGGCAGCTTCCTAGAAAAAAAAAAAAGGAATCTAAAGTTCTAAGCACACACAAAAAAAATCAAAACTAGAATACTGACTATATTATTATTCAAAAACCTAGGCTTGTACCATAAATAACATTTGAAAAAATAGTTATAAAAATTCCTTGTATCTATGGTGGTTAAAGAAAATTAGCTTGAAATGAAGTAAAGGTAACTCAAATCTCAAATTAGAAAGAAATTAAACACTACGTTTAAGCAGCCTTAAGCAGCGTTTAAGCAGTAAATCAGAATACTGACTTCTCCTATACTCGGGAAACACCAACTTAACTTTTATCATCACATTTACGTGTATCTGCCAAGGATTTGTACTGCAGTTCAGAAAACCTTAAGATCTTGTTTGTTCAGGCTAACAAGAGATGTTAATTGTGCATCTCTTATTAGCATAGATGTTAAACCTAAGCACAATATTTTGATGTGTAATGTTCAATTGGGAATTTTTATCCTATTTTTATTTAGGAATTACGAGGTTAGATAGAAAGAGAAAAAGAAGCTCCAAACACCTTATTTTGGTGGTAAAAGTCACTGGTTATTATTACCTGTACGGAGGGAAACCTTAGAGGTCAAGCCAAAGTATGACTTCACTGTTGGTTACTAGGGGTCACAACTGATTAAAGATTATTTCATATGTAATCTCAAACTTAATATTTTTAGAGGTTTGGGGTAGAAATGTGCTGAGAAATATACTCCCCTATTGGTACAGGATTGAGAAGATATGGAATAGGGAAAAGAGAAGCACGTAGTATGGACAGTTATTGACAGCATAACAAATTACATTTCAAAGGGTGACTTGTAAAATTGGTGGTTTGGGAACTTTTGACTATGTTAGGTTTCAACATTAGATAAGGAAAAACTATTTACCAGTGCAGCAGTGGGAAGCTTGAATGTTTATCCAAACATAGCTGTGCTATTGTGTAAGTACCCCCAAAGAACCGAACCATCATTGTTAACAATGCTTTTATTTTTAATGTTCATTTATTTATTTTGAGAGAGTGAGTGAGAGAATCCCAAGCAGGCTCTGTGCTGTCAATGCAGAGCCTGATGTGGGGTTCAATCTCATGACCGCAAAAGCAACGACTTGAGCTGGTATCAGGAGTTGGACACTTAACCAACTGAGCCACCCAGGTGTCCCGTTAACACTGCTTTTATAGGAAAACAAAATCAAATGAAAAATGGTGGAAAGGATAAAATGGGAGGAGGCCTGTGGTATCCTGGAGACTGTACTCAACAGCATTAATGACACCACTGCAACTGCAGTGCCCCTCAGCAGCCTCACTGCTTCTTGGCAGCAGGTCTCCTTCATTTCTAAGGATTTTCTTCAGTTCTCGAGATTATTCTCATTAGAATTCACATCTCCCAGAACTTTATTCTCTCTTTTTTTTGACCAGCATTCACAAGGTTTAAAATTTAGAGCTGGACTATGGCATCTTATTTCAAAAAAATGTGAGACTGTGCTGATGTTTAAAACATACCACAACCTATAAAGCTCTTGAGTTTGAGATTTTGGTTACATACAAAATAGAAAACAAAAATACAAACAAAAATATTAGAATTGTCTAATTCTATAATCAAATTAGAAATCTCATAAAACAAGATATATTTGGACACGTGCTGGCTTCTATTAAAATTCCTAATTTCTTTCTACTTAAGTTAGGTGTTTGGCTTGAAAAATCATAGTGGAACTTTCAAAATGGAATTGTGCTGGGGAAAGGATCATTTATATCATCCTCCAGGATCACAGACTCAATCTAAGATGGTTTGAAAGAGAAGGATAATTTATTCTCCTTTATAGTGCTATCAAGTAACTAATAATATCCCAAGTACTGAGAAAATGCTAAACCTTTAAGTCTGTGTACATTCCTACACAGAATTACCTTAACAGTCAATATGGCACAATAGGTATCCTAATAAATCCTAGTTTTACCACTAAGCAGGGAGAAGAAAAGTCTTACCTCCAGCCTGCGCTGTTTCTCAGGATCTTCCTCATTCATGATTCGCTCCTTCTCTGCTCTTTTCTTTTCCTCACGCCGAGACTGTGCAGCTTCCTGTCTTTGCACATGTGTTAGCTTCAGGAAGTTTTCTTCTACTCGAGCTCTGTTTTTATCTGCTTTTTGTTTGCCCTTTTCCCCAAGAAACAAAGTGTTTCGTAAGAAATCCATTTCAATCCATTTCAAGTCCCCTTTAGTATTCTTTTACTTTTCTTTTTCTTAAGTTGGTTTATTTTGAGAGAGAGAGGCAGAGAAGGAGCTGTCAGCGCAGAGACCAACGTGGGGCTCGATCCCACAAACCACAAGATCATGACCTGAGCTGAGATCAAGAGTCAGACACTCAACCCACTGAGCCACCCAGACGACTGTTAGTATTTTTTTAAAAACTATTCCCATTTAGTACTTTCAAGTCAACTAGCAAACTAGCAAAGATATAATCACTGAAATCATTGCTCACTGACTCCCCTGGGGGGAAAATAACAACAAAAGGTGCCAACTTATAATAAAGGCTGTGGGTCTTACCTCTCTGTTGAGTCGGAACTTTTTGGCTTTATCGATAGAATAAATCACCATGTTCATCAAGGGTAGCAAAGCCTCCATATCCTTTGGGTAAGTGTTACCTGAGCCAGGCACTGGAAAACAAAGCCATTTGCCTATTGAGTTAATGGCAGCATTAATACTTCTGGGTCACCCAACTCTGGTGTTTTTTTTTGTTTTGTTTTGTTTTTTAAATAGGCTCCTTTCTCCTTAGTGTCTTAGGCAGCTAAAATGCAGCAGGAAAAAACAAATTAAAATAAATAAAAGGATCTCTTATTGAAGAAACCCAAAAACCAAAAAGCAGGCATGGAGGTAATTTTAAGGTAAGTTTTTGTGGCTTTTAGGAGGGAACAGTACTCTCCTTAAGATTGTCTCACAGAAAATGAAGAACTCAGGCTAAACACAGAACACTTACCATTAAATGTAAACAATAGTGTCCTTTTAGTGTCAGGTAGCTTTAAAGGCTGACCTTCCCTGTCATAAAAGAAAGGCTATTTTAGAACATAAGAAAGATACTTTCCATTCACATAAGTCACTCAATTCACTTAGATGATCAGATACCTGCAAATAATCAGCACAGTACTTGGCTTGGCATCCCAAAGTTGAATAGAATCTCAAAGCCTGAAGGAGCTTTACAGATCCCCTGGTCCACTCGTCTATCTAATGGATGCATTCCCAAGTCATCTTCATTGTACACCTGGGAATTCCAGTGATGCTCCCCAGGCGGGATATATTCCTCTTACCTGGGGAGCCAGAAATGAGCTTGTATTTAAGTATGAGGCCCGCATTTTAAAGAATATGTTTACTTATTTTGATGGATTTTTACGTTTTACTTCCAACTTCTATCTTCCTATAATGAAACATCTTAATTTTGAGTCAGGGCTCAGAATAAATTTATAAATGATCTACTATAGCATACAGAATTTAGTTCCTACTCACCAAAGATTCCTTTGTAATCTTTGACTATCAACCCTCCTCTCTTCCCCCTACACATAAAAGGCTCCATGAATGTCACAATGTGATACTTTGCCCACAGTGTTGTTACTAAGTTGAGCAAAGCAAGGATGATGCAATACTATCCAGAGGCATAAGGACCTGAATAATTTTGACACGCAACTAAAATCTGGATTGGCTTTTAACCCAACTCCATAGTTTATGAGAGAGAAGCCCCTAACCAAAAATTTAGGTCAGAACCAATTCTACACCAAGGGTAAACTTAAATGAGTATGCGCTCCTAAGACAGGATGTGATTTCAAACAAACTCGGGTCCTGAATGTGAACATTCAAACAGTATTACTCTAAAGCCAGAAACTCTTATCACATTGACAGCATCTGATAATATACCACGAAAGAATACAATCACTGAACTATTCAAAGAAGGAAGCCAGAAAGGGCCATGAACTATAAAATGCAGAGACTTGCAATCAAACATAAGTCAAACATCACAGATTCATATTAGAAATTAAAAAAGGAAAGGAAAATCTCAACTACAGAGGACAAAGAGATTAGCAATTACATTTTCTTAGTATTTGCCATTCTGTAAGATTATCATACACCTCACTGAGCAGCTGGTGCATACATTCGGTGACACACAGCAAACTGGGAGGCTTGTCTCCCATAGGTTCTCAGTTACCTTCATGACACATGCAGTCCAAGCAAAGGAAAACTTAGGATGCCTGTCATCAACTTCCCTCATTCGACAAGAAAAACTGCAGAAGCACCTTGTGGGTGTTTCAACACAGAAAGCTAGCGGGGACAGTTAATTTCAATATTTTTATCTCATACGTACTCTTGCATAATTTTTGGACCAGAGAACTGGTCTGAAAAATGAACGGATTCAATCTTGTCAGCATAGTGAGTAAGAAAGTGAACCATCTGAAATAAAGAAAAAAAATTTTTTTTTATGTAGGGTTTGATGCATTTCCCTTTTTTTCATAAAGATATTCACTTTTTAATCCTCTTTACTTTTTCAAAATGGCATTAAGGTTAAAGCTTTTAAAAAATGAAATTTAAGATAAGGGATGTCTATGATGAAAATAGCATCTTTCTTTGGTCATACCAATGATCGAATTTCTTATTGAACAGCTGAAAATACGTCTCAAAATAATGTTCCAAACAAGAATGAAAGCATGAAGATAAAATCTAAAATAGTTTCAGGGGAGTCTTCATAAGCACATCAACTTGAACTTACATGAGAACTGTCTTTAAGCTACTCTGTGTTTTTAAGATACTGAGATGTGCTACTACCATTCCACAATCAATAGAAAAAAAAATGGACTAAATGCCATGGTGATAAGGATTAATGTTGTAGTCCTTTTACAAAAAACTTGAAAGCCACTAGCAATCCTAGGAATAACTTGCTCTTGGTTTAGAGAGATTTACTTGACTAATCAAGCTATCTTTTTTGACAAACTAATCTATTGCTTAAAGAAGGTATTTTAATGTTTTTGAGGGAAAGGAATAGAGCATTGTCATAAAATGAAGGACTTGTGCCTGTAAATGCTGAGGTCTGCAAATGTTATGTCTTCTATTGCATTTACCTTTGTATCCATCATTCCCTCCGTGACTTCTCCCATCTCTGATAGGATGGCCAAGGAGTCTGGCAGTCCATACTTTGCTCCAGACTTAGGTTTGTCGCTACAGAACTCACTCTAGAGGAAGAAGTAATTGAAGATAAGACATGACATTTTATTATAAACAAACTTTCTTTCTCAAGAGAGTATGTTCTGACCTCTTTCAAAGTGGTGCTTAACGATTCAAGTGATATGATTAAATACCCTATGCCCTCAAGTTGAATGTCTATGTAATAAAGAGGGACAGTTTTACATGTATTTGAGTTGGAACAACATACCAGATCCTGCATCTCCTTCTGGAGTCGCACCAAGGCTTTCCGAGTGCCAACAGCAAATACATAGGTATCCATGTCTTCATCGTTCATGGTTACTTTTATTTGCTTTAAAAACAATTACAAAACTCACCTGTTAGTTTCCTATGATAGCCCCCAAGATTCCCACCCCTTGGTGTGTACATCCTCCCTTTGAATGGGAGGAACCTGTGAAAATGATGGCTATCATTCCCATGATTATGTTGTGTCGTGTGGCAGAAGGTTGCTGATTAGATGACCGAGTTAGTCAAAAGGGACTTTATCCTGGAATGATCTAAACAAGTGAGCCCTCAACTCAAAAGGGACAGGGCCCTAGTGGAAGAAAAAAGTTGAAGTGGGAAAGGGCTTATGGGGGGAACCATGTGCCAAAGACTGCAGAATGGCCTTTAGGAGCTGAATGGTTTCCAGTTGGCAACAGTAGGAAACTGGGAACTTAACAACCATGGGGACATGACTTCTGCCAACCACCTAAATGACCCTGAGAAGAGGACCCCATGCTCTAGAACTTCAAGTTGCCGAACATTTAGATTTGCTGGGAGGGCAGTACAATCCAAAGAGAGCCTGGAAGCTCTGCACACCACCTCCACCCCCACACCTTACCTGATGCCTCTCTTCCATGTGGCTATTCCTGAATAGATTTCATTTTTAAATAATCTCCACATCCAACCATGGGTCTTGAACTCACAACCCCAAGATCAAGAGTCCCATGCTCTACCAACTGAGCCAAGGAACTCTTGATTTATAGCCAGGTAATCAGAAGTACGATGGCCTGGGACTTGCAACTGGCATCTATAGTGCGAGCAGTCTTATGGGACTGAGATTTTTTAACTTGTGGAATCTGGCACTAACTCCAAGTATACAGTATCAGAAGTGAATAGAACTGAATTGCTGGACATAAACAGCTGGTATCTGGACAATCAGAGAATTGCTTGCTCATGTTGGAAAATACCACAGAGATAGGTAAATAGTTTTTAATAAACTGCATTGGACCAGGGAGATAAAGTAAAAAAACCTAAAGAGTCTGGTAGGATAAAACATGACACTATTTGTCATGTTAATCATATTTTAAAATGTCTGGGCCAAAAATGATCAGTATTTCGAAGGGAAGTGTTAGTACAGAAATATAGCAAAGACCTGGCAAGATGGCAGCTATAAAAGGAAAGATTTTCTGCTTTTCCATTGTTGAGCAGAAATTACATAAAACAACACCTTAAAAAAAACCAAACAAACCCAGGAAAAGGACTAAAAAATATAGAAAATCATGTTTGTTGAGGCTGTTTATCTTTGCAGAAAAAAAGGGATAAAATGATTGCTGGCTGAGGGAAAAGAGATTAAATCTACCTCAGGGAAGAACTGAAAAGGATTAAAACAACACTCTAAAGAAGAATTTCCACAAAAAGATAGCTGAAGATGCAGCAAAATTTCCCTTTCTACCTAATCAGATGGTAACTAGTAGGAGAAAGAATGACAGGACTCTTAACTGATGAGTCTCTAAAAATTAGTAGATTGAACAATCAGTGGCCATATTAGAAAAATTAAATGAATAAAAGATAGGTTTGCAACTAAAAATGAGACCTTTAAAATGAGTTTCAAGCCAATGACCTCCCCCTGGCCCCCCAGCAAGTTCTGTGCCCAATGTGGGACTTGAACTCACAACCCCAGTATCAAGAGTCATACACTCCAGACTGAGCCAGCCAAGTACCCCAATCCAATGACATTTCAAAGTATCTAATTATATTACTTATACAGCAATTGTTAACCAAATACTGCTTTGTATTTTGACATATATGCAGCCATTTCTTGTTCTACTAGTAAATATGAGAGACTGTATTTTTTTATATTTGGGATTCTTGTAGCATTGGGAGGCAGCACTTACTTATTGAATGAATGGAGAGGGGGGAATGTGGCATTTTTGACAAAGGACACAATCTGCAGATCAACATGTTGATTTAAATAAAGGGAAGAAGGTATACCAAACAATAAGGTCCCCAGATCACAATTTAAGCTCATTCAGCCAAAGACGTATTATTTGAAGCAAAAAATATTTGCAAAGAAACCCATCTTGCTGTCAAGATAAAAGCATACACAAGGCACAGAGTAAGACATGAGGGCAAACTGTCTGTGACAACTATACCCCCCCCCCCCCCCCGCAATCATCCAGGCTGACTCAGCAAACCTACCTAGTGATACAGTATTATCTCCTTCCCTACAAAAAGCACATGTTCCCACTCCTCACAGTTGGCACCCTAAGTAGAAGGTAATCTGTTGAAACAGAAAAAGGTCCATTTTTGGCAAGGGACACAAGTTGCCTGAAATTCAAACAGAATCCAGGCAAGGAATGGAATAGACTCTAAGAAGTTAAGAATTCAATGTATACATAGAAAACTATTAAAAATACATACCACTTGATCACTCACTGGTCTCATCATCCGGGCCAGGACATTCAGTAAGTCTTGTCTCTTGAGGAACTGAGAAAACAAGGGAATAGTTGCAACTTTTATTACTATAAAGAAAAGACCTTGAAAGGGGAATCACATGTTTTATCAAATATACTCTACATTTACCAGTTAGTAGAAAGATGATTTTTAGACCTAATTTAGTCAAAAAAGAAAGGATAAGACACTGAATTTGGACTTGGAATCATACTGGAGAAAAATTAAAGGAAGATATACATTGTACCAGAAATTCTGTACTTACCCTCAGCTGGATAAGCATCCCTTCACAGCACACTCGACCAGAACACCACAGGTTGTAGATATGTTCATTCTCCTGGTTCAGCTTTCCTGTGCTTGTGGCTTCTTTGTTAGTTCCATCATCCCCTAGGGGTAAACCCACTTAATGTGATTCACTGAGAATGTTGGGGCCTAATCACCACATCTTCCTCCATTCTGACCCCCAAATGATCATACCTTTAGTGAAGCAATACTTTGCTATCTTATAGAACTCTTCTTTGGACATATGTTACAACAGATGGGCATCATTCCTTTTAATATTCTTTATTGTCTCCACCAAAAAAAACTAGACTCCAGGGTGCCTGGCTGGCTCGGTTGGTAGAGCATGCAACTCTTCATCTTGGGGTTGTGAGTTCGAGCCCCATGTTGGGTGTAGAGATTACTTAAAAATATAATCTTAAAGGGGCACCTGGGTGGCTCAGTCAGTTAAGCCTCTGACTCTTGGTTTCAGCTCAGGTCATGATCTCACAGGCTCTGCACAGACAGCATGGAACCTGCTTAGGATTCTCTCTCCTCCTCTTTCTGCCCTCCCCTGCTTGCTCTCTCTCTTTCAAAATAAATAAACTTAAAAAATAATTTTTTTTTTAAATTATGGACTCAAGATGACTTATTAATGTTGATCTGATTGGAATATAAATGCCTCAGAATTAGATACAAAATGGAGCAAAGTCAGTTTAAATGTCTGTCAAAAGTTAAAACTAACAAAAAAGAAACTCCTATGCAGTAAATAAAAAATACCATTAATACAAACTATTCACCACTCCCTCTTGTGTATCCATCCTATGGATTAACTTTAACCAAATTTGCTTTTCCAACAGCAACATGGTAACATTGGCATTGAGTTGTATTTTAGATCTAGAAAGACCTCAAATTCCAATCATTTCCTCCCTTCATTTAATCCATTAAGTGTACAAAAGAAATTGCTCGACCTCACAAGGTAAAGCAGACTGACACACCAAATGAAAACACATGAGGGGAAGTGGAAGGCATTAAAGGCTGTTTATTTTTTTTCCTAATTTCCAAGTCAAAAAGTACTCTGAAATACTATGGTACAGTGGAGAGAGCACAGACTTTGAAAGCAGGTAGACTACGTTCTAGTATCATGTTGCAATGTACTAGCTTAGACAAATTGTAACATTCTTGGACTTTAGTTCCTCTAGAAAACAGAAACTGTTTCCAAATAAGTGTTGTTACAAGGATTAAGTAAGAAACAATGTATGCAAAGGACCTAATATAAAAAAAGGCAATCTGCTAAAGAGCTGAGCAGATAGATACTTACTTGCTTACTGAAAGGAAACAAAGTATGAAAGGTCAAACTAAGGTGAAGGTGGGTTGAGTTCACTTTACTCTCTAGGCCACACAAGTCCAGGGGTTCCTCTAAGGTACTTTAGTACGTACCTTTTCAGTGGATCCAAAACTAAAGTTCCCAGAACTTGAGGGAATTCTAAGGGATTTCTAAAAGATGAACTGAAAGCATTTATCAAGCTACCTAAAATGTCAAAATTCCTTACTGACTAATGAAAAATTAGAAAATTACTTCATAAATGCAATTAATTCAGTACATGCAACCTAATAAAAATGGGATCCTTGAGGAAAAAAAAGCATCCTCTTCAGCAGTCCATGAAAGCAGTTAGAGGCTTATACTGAGGGCAACAAATAGTTCTTACCAGGTGGCGTTCGAGCATGCAGCTGGATTTGTATTGGCCCAACTTACCTACTAAGGTAAAGTTGCTCTCCAGAAGCTCTCTATGAGTGTTAAACCAGGCTTGGGCAAGGCGGCTGTTTTTATTCTTCCCGATGATATAATTCATGATGTAGGCGAGGAGACCAGTTACCATCAAAATTTCTAGATAATAACTCTCCCAACTGTTCTGGAGGTGTGCAGGAACCTAAAGATGAATAATCATTCCATTTAATGTTGGCTGAGGCTGAAGGAGATGGAGTCCATCCAACTCATGGGATAAAGGAGAATAAAAAAACCCATAAAGAGAAGTGGATAATTTAGATAACTGTCATTGATCATGGTATACTTCGAAAAATATGCCCATTTTGTTTTCTAGGTCAGCCTCAAAAAGATTCTTTAAGGAAATGTGAGAACAATCAAACAGAATGAAAAGCTGGAAAGCCCTCTGTATTAAACTTGATTCTGAGTCCCACCCCAAATAAATCCAGTTTCTAGTCTTATCATTCCTCGATAAATAAAACTAGGAGGGCCAGAATAAGAACATAGGGGTTGCTTCTCTAGGTGTGGTTTTATCAGAAGAATTGATGACAAACTCTTTCACAGCTCCCACCATTACATCAACACCACCTACATGTCACTAGTTATATTTCTGGGATTAATGACAACCAGATATTTTGTTGGTTAGTTTGGAATTCAGAATCCTGTATACCTACATCAACAATTGTTATTGGGTCTTTATTTTTGCTAGAAGTGGTGTCTGGTTTGTCTTCATAACCTTCAAATTCTTCATCATCATATGGCTCACTCTCCGTATCTCCCTCCTACAAAAACGAGGAAACACAATCTGTTTCCCCCTACAAATATGGCCAGCAATTGCATCTCATTTTTGTAGGCAGTATTTGTAGAGGAAAACAGAACATGTAAGCAGCAGCACAGAACACAGATATTCCATGTTTGTAACAAATGATAACTCTCCGTGCATTTCAACTCTGATACAATTCCCACCCACACATGGTATTCACTACCCCTTCCAGCCAGGCTCTCCATAGGAGAAAAATACAATCCATTCTTCCATCAATGTAAAAGGTGGGAACCTACCAAAAACATTTAGAAGAGTTCCACCTACCAAACAAAAATAAAGATACCAGAGGGTAAGATATCACTCCCTAGATGTGGGTGTTACTTTTTTTTTTTTTAAAACGTTTATTTATTTTATTTTATTTTATTTTTTCAACGTTTATTTATTTTTGGGACAGAGAGAGACAGACCATGAACGGGGGAGGGGCAGAGAGAGAGGGAGACACAGAATCGGAAACAGGCTCCAGGCTCTGAGCCATCAGCCCAGAGCCTGACGCGGGGCTCGAACTCACGGACCGCGAGATCGTGACCTGGCTGAAGTCGGACGCTTAACCGACTGCGCCACCCAGGCGCCCCCACGTTTATTTATTTTTGAGAGAGAGGGAGTGTCTCACTCTGTCTCTACAGAGTGAGAGCGGGAAAGGGGCAGAGACAGAGGGAGACACAAAATCTGAAGCAGGTTCCATTCTCTGAGATGTCAGCACAGAGCCCGACATGGGGCTTGAACTCACAGACCACGAGATCATGACCTGAGCTGAAGTCAGACGCTTAACTGACTGAGCTACCCAGGCACCCCTGGGTGTTACTTTTAATGTCTAGGGAAAGTGTCAGTTACAAATTTTCCCATGGTTCCACTTTCCTAAAAAATCAAGAAAAAGAACTTCACCTGGGTATCTGCATCTTCAAAGTCTCCTTCTTGGTTTTCATCCTGCCCTTCCAACTCCACGGTGGTCTCATCTTCATCATCTTCAGTAGTTATCACCCGTTGAGGAGATTCAGTAATAGAATCTTCTGTGACATCTTCAAATTCAGCAAAGTCATTATCATCATATTCCACTATGTCTTCCTCATCCTCAAAATCATCAAATTTGGCTTCAGAGACACTCCCAAACACCAAAAGGACAACACAGAAAGCAAGGAAGGCTTTCATTGCACCTTAAAAATGAGTTAAAAAAAACAAAAAACAAAAACCCTTAATGGACAGCGATTCTGCACATACCAAATTTTGTAATAAAAAATACATCTATGATTCTCTCCTGCTTTAAAAAAATTTAATACTACTCATTTCAAATAGTGTTATATAAAGAGCAATGGTGAGGGTCAAGAGATCTGGGTACTAGTCTGGACTGTGTCACTACTTATCTGTTAAATCCTGGACAAGTCGTTTAATTTCTTTAGGTTGGTTTCCATTTACACTGGGTATTAAGTTTTGTTTTGTTTTGTTTTGTTTTGTTTTTGAGAGCCTATAAAAGCTTTATATAGGAACTGGGAAGTAGTATAATGAAATAAGAATGAGATCCAACTATTGATCTATTAGCAGTAATACATGGATAGAAAAGCTACTCATCCTTAGATCAACTTTGTGTGTATCCGGATTTCTGAACATCAATAATCAAAGCACATGTTTAATATGCAAAAGTTCTAGGCCCTGTCCTAAAGGCTTTACAAAAAGCAACTAATTTAATCCTCATAACAACCCTTTGAGGAAAGTGACATATTAACATCCCCATTTCACAGACAAGTAAAAGGAGGCAGAGTAACACAACTAGTTACTCTAAGTAACACAACTACCAAGTGGCATAGAGCTATGATTTGATCCCAGTTATGTCTCCAGAATCCCTACCATATGAACCACTTCTCAAGTGGCTTCTCAAATGTAGGCCAGTGACTATGATTTTTATATCACTTACTTAAAGTAGTAATTAAATAAGTAGAATTAAATTCATCAGTATTTCACAGCTTTCTAAAAAGAACACTAGATGTTCCACCACCCAAATAAGTTTCTGAACCAACAAATAAAATGAAATCAGATCTGTGACAAAAATGTGCCAAATGATATGAAAACATAGAGGACAATGAAATCATCTTATCAAACAGGTAAGGCTTTACCAAAAAAAAGGAGAACATTTGATCTAGAGTTCGAAAAGTAGTTACATTTAAACCATCAAATCTATTTAGGCTGTACTTCCAGTCCTCATCTCTCATCTAAACACCAGCCCTATAGCACCGATTTTCTAACAGACACATCCATTTTCATGTCCTACAGACTTTTTTTCTGTACAAGGTCAAATAATAAACATTTTAGGCTCTGTGAACAACATATTGGTCTCAATTGCATACTCTTTTTTAAAACAACCCTTTAAAAATGCAAAAAAAAAAAAACCAAAAAATAAAAAAAAAAAAAAAAAACCAAAACAAAAAAAAAAAAAAAAAAAAACCCCATTCTTATTTAATAGGTTATACAGAAACAGTCTGTCTCTCAGGCTGCAGTCTGCTGATTACTGCCTGACAATCATCTCAAAATCAACAGGTACCTGAATTTCTCCATTAATATCAATCCCATTTTTCCAGTCTTAACTTGTTGAAAAGAGTGACATATCTAATCCTTGTGTTTCCTTCTTTGGTTCCCAAAGTCACCATGATAATCCAAGTTACCATCACCTGCTGAACAATCAAAGTATTATCCTAAATGGTCTCCCCATCTCAACTCGCTCCCTACTTCTCTTACCAAAAAAACTGTATCATCTTCCTAAAATACAACTTTTGTTACCTAAGAATTCAATAACCACCAAAGGCTAACAAATTCCTACAGAATATTATAAACTCCTCTGGCTTTTACTGCTTTTCAGAAGATGATCCTACCATATCTAATCAAATTACCCTCATTGAACATATCACCACATCAGATTAACTATGGCAAGAGAAGTAAAACATGATTCCTGAATAATCATAAATTTGCATGATACTTCAGCTTCAAGGATATGTGTTACAATATTATGATAGTAAAAAATTTGCAACTCTTAGGTTAAACTATGGACACATACAAAAAATAAATTTACTTTTTGTCCATTAAAAATCATTACAAATAGGGCACCTGGGTGGCTCAGTCGGTTAGGTGTCCGGCTCTCCATTTCCACTCAGGTCATGAGCCCCACATTGGGCTCTGTACTGATGGTGCAGAGCCTGCTTGGGATTCCTCTCTCTCCCTCTCTCCCTACCCCTCCCCTGCTCACACACTCTCTTTCAAAAAAATAAACAAAAAATCGTTACAAATGAAGCGAGAAACCTGTTGTTTTAGAAGCACATACACAAAACCAAAAAGGTTTAGAAGGACATAAATATAAGTAATTATTTTGTATGGTAAGATAATGAGCATTTTGCCTTTACTTTTTCTTTTTTTCCTATGATGTGTTTTTGTAAAAAAAATTCTCTTAAAAACTAAAAGCATGGTTCCTGCATGAAAGAAGGTGCTGCAGACTATGGAATAGCTATATCACAGACTCCTGAAATAATGTATTTTAAAGTCTGGTATGATAGAGCACTGGGTTTGTAGACCCAAGTCAGAGAAATTAGGCTAGAAAGGACAGCAGGAGCCAGATCATGATGGTCCTCATTTAAATACCACACTAAGAAGTCTGGATAATTACAATCACCTAAAGGATTTAGGTAGGAGTGGCACTATCAGATTTGCAAGTTAACCCTGACAGCTCATATACAGGAAGAATTGGAAAAGTAGAAGTGTTGAGATAGTCAGATAAGATTGAACTGGCAGTGGTATTGGGAATGAAGAGGAAAACAGATTTGACAGATACTAAGAATTATACATGTCAGCATACAGTGACGGGATGTAGGGAATGTGGGAAAGGAAAATCTGGGTGATCCCAAATTTTGGCTTGATTCATAGCCAGACAAAGTCATCCTTGAGATAAAGAAAAAAGCGGGAGGGGGAAGACAATTAATTAAATTTACTACCTGTTGAAAAGTCTGGAGTATGTTCAGGCAGTATGTTAGATGATTAACATTTATCTCTTGATTTTCACAAAATCCCTACAAAAAGTATAACTATTTTAGAGAGGGAGAAAAGGAAGTATTTGAAATACTTATATTGTGTAAGTATTGTATATAATACTTATATAAGTATTTCAAATACTTATATTTGAAATGTAAGTCTGGAGTTCAGCATACAAGTCTAAGATGCAAACAGAGACGGTGCAGGAATGGATGAGATCACCAGGGAGTATTAAGAGTTAGGTTTAAAAAAAAAGCACCAGGACACCTGGGTGGCTCAGTTGTTAAGCATCCAATATCAGCTCACGTCATGATCTCATGGTTCATGGGTTCAAGCCCCGCTGACAGCTCAGAGCCTGGCGCCTGATTCAGATTCTGTCTCCCTGTCTCTCTGCCCCTCCCCCACTTATAAACATTAAAAAAAAATTTTTTTAAAGCACCAAAAACTCTTGAAACATATCATTACAGCTAAGAACTGGAATGGGAAAGTAAGGAATGGTTAGAGAAAAAGAAGAGACTCTGGTCAAAGAGGTAACATAGAAGTCAAAAGGAGAAGTATATTTCTAAGAAGGAAACAGAGCTCAGTTTCAATTGCTGCAGAAAGTTCAAGTAAGATATGGACCAGAAATTTCCAAATGCTAACAATGAAATCATTATTGGCAACTGCAGGGAAGTGGTTAGGATGAAAATCAGAATGCAGGGAGTTTAGTACTAACAGGGTGAGTGGTGGCAAAAGGGAGTATGCACAACTCTTCTTTTTTTTTTTTTAATGTTTATTTATTTTTGAAAGGAGAGTGTGAGCAGGGGAGGGGCAGAGAGAGAGAGAGGGAGACACAGAATCTGAAGCAGGCTCCAGGCTCTGAGCTGCAGACAGAGCCTGACACGGGGCTTGAACCCATGCACTGCGAGATTATGACCTGAGCCGAAGTTAGACGCTGTATCGACTGAGCCACCCAGGTGTCCCGATGCACTACTCTTTCAAGGTGCTCTGGGACAGTGAATATTCTATATCTCATATTTACAACACTGTAAATTCTTTTTTTTTTTAAGTAGGCTCCATGCCCAACATGGGGCTTGAACTCATGACCCTGAGATTAAGAGTCTCATGCTCTTGTGACTGAGCCACCAAGGTGCCCCAACAACACTGTAAATTATTAAAGGAATCAGTTCAATCAAAGGTTATTGCCTAATACCTTGCAATGCAAGGCTGCTCAAGAAATATACTCAGAACTGAACAAAGTTCATAAAATTTGAAAGGCACAAATGATTTGAGAAATGCCATAAAGGACAGGCTAATCCTTTCCAATATCTGATCTTTAAAGTTAGCACCAGGGGACATTTTATGGAAAAACATAGTTGCCTTCTCAACACCAACCTCAAAAGAGGTTTGTGATGTGTCTCCAAACATTGTTAGCTTCCTTTAATTATCTTTATTATAGTCAAAATTGGAAGAAATATGAAAAAGAGTATGTACTTTGGTGGAGTTACATTTAGTTTAAAACATCAGCCCTACCATTTACAAGTCATATGATCTTAAACTAATTACTTAAAATTCCCTGTTCCTCACATACAAAAAAGGGATATCCATTCACTACATGCCTCATTGGGCTGTAGTTGCTATTACAGGAGATATGTGCCTGGCACATGTAAAGTATTCATTAAATACTAGTTCTCATTATTTCCTTCCCCTGTGCCTTAGGAACACCCTTTAAGATTTAAAAACCTTAACTTTTAGTGCTTCCCTTTTCAGATCCCAGTTTTATACTTTTTCAAATAGAAGCAAATAAAGATTAACATTAGCACAGTCAACTTGCTTAACTGCCAAAAAGTCTGATCATTTCCAATTGAACTTCCACTTAGAATGTTCACACCATAGAAACATTTGAAGAAAACTCGTCACTGTAACAAGCCGCCTTCAAGGTTATTTAGGTTAAAATTATCCAAGTCACTTATACCTTGGCCTTCCCTCTGAGAAGTTTCTCAGCTGCACCTGTCATTTCATTTCTCAAAAGCACAACTCCCTGCCAGGCCACCCAGTCCTGAGAGTCCTGGGGCAGGGAACACAAGCACTAACAAGTCTGGTTTGATTATCTCCTGCTAGCTCACCCGGTAGTCTCTCCAAAACTGGATCTGGACTTAAAA